TATAGTTAGAATAGCTGTCTCCTGCAAGTCTATCTTACGAGAGCAATCGGAAAAATATGCGGCTACTTTTTTTTTTCCCTTATAATATATAAATTTCATTCTGAAAGTGAAAAGACATTTTAAAGTGACTATAAAGGTCGCGTAATTTTTTTAATTTCCTCTTATATTTTTCTTTGTTTCTATTAAGTCCATCATTCTTATTAAGTCAATTTTAATTCCTTTCAATTGATATACGCGGAATGTCTACCATTTTTTGAAAGTTATCTTCTTTTTTTAACAAGAAATAGTAAAAGTTATTTAATTTTTTTTCTTTTTTACATAATGCGTTACGTTTTAATCTATATTATACATTTCTAGTCTATCGTAGAAGACTTGGCTATTATGCATGTCAAATACGAACGATGCTATAATTTTACAAATATATAGGTATAGCACATTTTTTGCATTTTTTTTTTTTTTTAATTTTAATGAAACAAAGCCATTCTGCATTGGACATCGAATAATGGATGTCCTCGATGAATTCACACACACCACATACACACGTGCGCGCGCGTGCGCACGCACGTGCGCGGATATATTAGATGTATAATTAGTGTGTAAATGTATATTCGATGTATTTATAGGATATATGTGTATTATGATGTATATATATATATATATATATATATATATATATATATATATATATATATATATATTAGAAAATATTAAGTATATTTATATATTTACACTTCTGTATATACATGTATATATATTTAAACATACATTGCTAAAATAAAAGTTTTGTATTTCGTATAGCATTACTCAGGCAGAAACGCGTCACAGTAATATTTTCTTTCTCGTTCTGCGAAAGGACACGACACGAGTAATTGTCGTTAAAGCGAGTAATTATTAGACGCTTGTGACCAACTCGTTGAATGCGAAATCGCCTTTTTTTCGAGATAAAGAAAGAAAAAAGAAAAAAAGAAAAACAAAAAACAAAAAGAATGAAAGAAAATCAAAAGAAAAGAAAAAAATAAAGATGTCTGAAATGTTCTAAGTACATTTCAAATAAAAGATAAAATATATGGGACTGTGAAAAATCGTTATTTAAAAAATACATCTTTTAACATGTCAGTTCACCTAAATATTTTGTGACGGGAAACAGAGTGGTAGAAAGAGAAGGTTAGAGAGCAAGAAATAGAGAGAGAGAGAGAGAGAGAGAGAAAGAGAAATAGAATGAGAAGCATATGGCGCGTGTCGTCCATCGTGTGCCATTGGCTGACAGTATAAGAGTCACGTGTCCCTTCGCTTGCTTTACGTACTGGCCAGGAAGCAGCTGGCGGTAAACTAATGTTGATTGTCACATAAGCGAGAGGTTAACCATTGATTGATCTATGCCGGTTTATGTTGATATCAGAAAATGATAAGAAGATTCAACTTATATAGAACAATTTTCATTTGAGTTTAGCAACTTAATCGATCGTTCGAATTTTTATTTATGTATTATTTTAATATTATCTTATTCGATATTCGAAAAAATGTAAAAATTACTAATTTAAAAAGTACAGAATATTTTTATAGAGATTCATTTTCTTTTAAATATCATTTGTTGACCTTACAAAACTGTTGATATTATATTTGTGTGTGTGTGTGTGTGTGTCATGTATGTGTGCATATATTTATATATATATCGTAATTATGTATAGTATATGATGTACAAATTTGTATGATAATCGAAGTGAATGAATCTTTCCTAATATGAGTCAATGGATAGGTATATCCAGGTCAGCATTTATTATTCACGATCGATAATTAATCATGAAGTCTTTATATAATTATTATCACGTTCTATCGATAATAGTCACTATCTACCTATGATAAATTACCGATAGTGAAATAACTAAATTCTACATTATCGACATTAACTATTTTACCGATGTTAACTGTATTATTAAAGTTATCGACAGTATCTACATTACCGATGTTCTATACATTACCAACGCAAACGATGGACGAAACACAGCTACCATCTTTCATTAGCTCGTTGTACTAATAGTCTTCACTCTTTAAGAAAAGTAGAACATTTTTTGAACTATAAAAGTCTTAAATATAAAAAGATTGTAAACAATATATAAATAAATAAATTTAGGATTTAAAGAAAGAAATGTTTTATTTCTTGATAGAGTTTCTCGTATATCTCAGGCTAATTTTAATTACTATGGACGTTTATTGTAAACTTCCTGTTGTTAAATTTTTCTTTCCTAGATTTAAAAAATATTTCTAATATGCGTTAGGTTAATTTTCTAGAGGAAATAACGAAGACAATGGAAGTGATTTCATCTCCTAATGAAACAACATTACTACGCTTACATCATTCCATTATCTCAAACGTAATCAATCTGATTAACGCTAATGTGAAACGCAGTATAAGGATGTAGCGAATATACAAATGATAAAAGAGACACGAAACTATGAGAAAAATAATTGACGAAGGATCAATGCTTCCTTTCTTCGTTAAGATTGAATCACAATTAACAAGAAACATTGCTTACATGTTCTACGTAAAATTTAATAGATTTTCAAAATAAATGGAGGAAAAGGCATTATCTTTCTAAGAAAAAAAGAGAGAAAAAGAGGGGAGAGAGAGAGAAAAAACTTGTATCTTTCCTTTTCAAAACGATCAGAAATATAAACAAAACGTAGCCTACGAAATTTTCCCATAAAGTGATTAATAAAACGTATATATATATATATATATATATATATATATATTAAATGAAATGCATTTTTAAAATATAAAATGTATCTTTCATAAGAAATGTCTTCCTTTTTCTACAGTACTTCTTTTATTTAACTGTAATAGTGTAAAAAATATAGAAGCAAATAGAAAGAAAAAAATAGGAAGAAGCAAATAGAAAAAAGAAGCAAAATAAAAAAAAATTAATAAAAAACAAAATTAAACGAACAAGATAATTCTTCGTCTTGAATAATGTCTTGAAGTAAACGAAGAGGCAAATAACGACGATAAAAAAAAGAATAATAAAAAATTTAAAAGAGAAGAGAAAATGAAAAAAAAAAGACAAAAGTAAAAGAAACAAGGTAATTCTTTGCTTTGGGTAATGAAACGTGTCTATCGTTGGATTACGGGTATTAATGTTCCAGCATCAATCGCCGTTCACTCAGAACTGGACCAGTTGACCCTGTACCGAATGTATACATTGTAAGAGTAGTCGTTTACACTTTTTCCTTTGTGCATTCTCCTACTCCACAAATAACACTGACTTTTTTCTTTTTCTCTTTTTCTATCATTCCTAATTTGTTTCTATCTTCAAATATTTCAAAAAGATCCTCTTTTTCTCTCTTTCCTTCTATGTATACATATTTCTCTTCCTTTCTTTTTTTTTTCAAATTCTCGTTTGTCTGCAAAACATGATCGGAGATGTTAATAGGAGAACATGTTTTTCTCGGAAGAAACTTTTCTACGAATCCACGCATAAGAAGAACGTGTTAAGAAATGAAACAGAAAATCACATGTAATTTGCATAATCGACGGTAATCGTTTATTATTGCAATGAATTGAACGAAGGACGAATTAAAGAATTTCGTTTACTCTTTCAAATCTATATACTTATCGTTATATACATATATATATATATATATCTTTTTATTGGAATTATGTATATTTATCATAGAAAAAAATTAATTAAAAGTATAATACTCAATCGATAATTATTTAGTCATGCTAGTAACTTTTTTATTAAAGAGAAAGAAAATATCAATGAAAATATACAGATGCATACACAAATATTCTTTTTTTCTTCAAAATAACGTATATCTACTGTAAATAAATAGACCAACAAGTATAATATTTTATTGATAATTTTTTAGCCATACTAATCACATTTCTAATGAAAAAGAGAAAATCGATGAAAATAAAAGATCCTTGCTCTCTCCCTGATTTCATATATACATTACAGATGCACAGATATATACAATATACAGAGTATTCCAAAAATCATAAATCAAATTGAAAGGAGTTGATAGAAGAGGTAATTTACAACAACAAAAAAAGCTTTACCTATAGTTATCCAATTCTTCATCGTTTTCAAATGACACATGCTTGTTTCTTCGTAAGTAAAAATTAGCACATTCCAATACGAATCAAGTAGAATTTTTTTCGGACAATGTAGATTATCTATTACAGCGGGAAGAAGAGATTTTGTAAATTCTTTCTTAAAAAAAGAAAAAAAAGAAAAAAAAAAAAGAAAGAAAAAAAGAATTTTTTTTTTTATAGTAAATAAATTTAATTGAAACTCTTACATTAATTTATTATTCTTATGTCTGAAATCTAAGGTCAGTTCTGTACAATGTGATTTTCATTATAGTATAACATTTTTGATTAAATCGTTTAGAAATAAAATTTCCAATAAAAAGCTAATTGGTTTTTTCTTTTTTCTCCCTTTTTTTTTTTTAATTTGAAAAGCCAGACATTAATTAAAAAAAATGGTTATATACTTGAAAACGGTGAGAAATTGGATAACTATATATATAATGCTTCTTTTTTTTGTTGGAAATTATTTTCCCTATCATCTTCTTTCATTTGATCCGTAAGTTTTGAGATGTCTAGTATATATATATATATATATATATATATATATATATATATATATTTTTTTTTATTTTTTTTTATTATATATATATATATATATATATATATATAATATTATTTTTTACAATTACGTATGTTAATGTAAGTAAAGAAATAAATCAATAATTATAATATTTTATTGATAATTATTTAGTCATGCTTGTAACTTTTCTTCTTGAAAAGAGAAAATCGATCGAAATAAAAGATCCTTGCTCTCTCCCTGATTCCATACATGCAAACACATATACATATATCTATATACATAGATAAAACGGACAGATGTAACACATTTATGCATCCGAATGGATAGATGACGCTTTCGCTAGAGAAATGAGCCGATAAACGGGTTAAAATCGTACTACTCACTCACCGGATTCTTTTTCGTGGTCTTGTGTCCCGTCATCTCTCACATCATCGGTGGAAAGTGCTGAAATCAAAGATAAAGATGAATCTCTAATTTATATTTTTCTATTTCGTTCATATATTTATATAAACAAACAAATAAACGAACAAACAAGCAAGCAAGAAAAGGAATGAGGAAGGAAGGAAAGAAGGAAGCAAGCAAGAAAGGAAGGAAGCAAACAAGCAAGGAAGAAAGGAAGGAAGGAAGGAAGGAAACAAACAAGCGCACGTATATAAGTGGGATAAAGCGAGAGTAATTATTAGAGTGCGAGACACGTTACGAGCTCACGTGTCCTCGAAAGAGCCGATCGCGACCTTCGCATTTGATGGACGAATATTAAACCACGATGGAGCTTTACGATTACAGCCACGCTCTTCTGATACAAACGCACACGTATACGCATAAATAAGTAAATAAATAATGTGTGTATGTGTGTGTGTGTGTGTAATCTATATATGTGAAAGTATATACAATCTATGAACTTACGAGTGATTATAAATATTTTATATTCTATATATCTAATTGCAAAGAAATAATTAATGTTTAAGTAACTAATAAATTGGATTAAAATATATATTTTATAATAATAATAATATTAATAGTAATAATGATCATAATAATAATAATAATAATTATTATTATATATCATTATTATATATTATATATTAGGTATTATATATTATATAATTATATATTTATTGTTATTGTTATTATTGTCGTTATTGGAATTTTTTCAAATATTAAATACGACACCTTGAACAATCGGAAAAATTACCCGAAGGAAAATGTCCCCAAAAAAAAATGATAAGCGTAAAAATATATAATAATAGATATTATCAGGCTAGTTAAGTTCGCTCATAACTTCCTTATCGTTTACTTGAACGTATGTACATGACATCAACGTAATAACTGTTAGCTACCGATCGCTTGGTTACTTGTTATTTTAAAAAATATTTTATCGTATATCATCTAATAATTGTTATATCTCAGAGACACTCCATGAACGAGATTAATCTCTGATTATTTTCTTTTATTATCTTGGTATTATTTTATACTTAAAAATGATACATTTTAAATTTGGTACTTTTCGTATGAAAAATAATCTGTTGATGCGATCCTTCAGACTATTTTTTTTAACTTTTTTTTTTTTGATTTTCTTCTTCTTATCATCTTTCGTTTCATCTTCCTTTTTTTTCGTCATTTCTCTTTCATTCTCTCTCTCTCTCTCTCTTTCTCTCTTTCTCTCTTTCTCTCTTTATTAACAATAAAATGATTTTGAAAAATAATATTTGAAGCAAAACGAGCTCTATTGGCGCATCGATGAGCTCACAAAAAAAAAAGAAAAAAATAAATGAAAAAAGGGGGACAGAAAAAATAAAATAAAATAAAATTATTATTAATCGTGTGACACATTAACGTGTGACATAACAAACGAGGAAATACGTCGCAAATTTTAAATTTTCGCAATTGTCAACGAAATACTATTTATATTATATGCGCATGTTACATTCACCATCGTGGATATCATTATATTTATCTTATCTACACGTGATGGAACGCACGTTGATCATTTTTTTTTTAATATTTATATATATATATTTTTTTCTTTTTCTTTCTTTTTTTTTCTTTTCAATTTTTTTTTCGTTTTTTTTTTTGGTTGAAATCTACAGAAACAGAGACGGCGAGTTTGTCCAGCAAGTTCACCTTGAAAAGAACTGCGCCTTAATGGGTCAGCAAAATAAATACACGTTCTCTGTTTTCCTTCTATGGTCGAATCGAATGATCCCGGAACAGATACTCTCACCTGTACGTTCAATAATTCAATAATTTTTTTTTTTGTTCTTTTCTGTATCGGTAAGGTGACTGACTCGTTACAAGAAATTAAAAAATAAAAAAGAAAGAAAAAATATAATTACCGGATCTATCATTCTCACAAATCTTACAACTGTGGAATATGAATATGATTTATTTATTATGAATTTGATTTATTTTATCATTTTATTTAAGGAATATTTATTTTAAATATAAACAAAAAAAAATTGAGATCGTCCATATTTTTACTTTCTTTATTGCGTTTTCCTCTCTTCTTCTTTTTTTCTTATATATTCGAAACGATTTTTCTTTTATTCTTTTTTTCTTTTTTTTTTGTTTATGAGATTATTGCAATTTAATTGATGACATTGAGGTACACGAGTTACTTGTCAGATATAATTTGTTAGAAATTTATTTTAAATACAAAAAAGAATGATATTAATCTTTCAAAAAAAAAAAAAAAAAAAAAAAAAAAAAAAATAATAATTTTTAAATTATAAATAATAATGAAAATAATACTTTCAAATGTCGAGAAAATAGATTTTTTATAACTATTTAGAAATTATAACGAATAGAAATATAATCGAATGTCGATGATCTTACTTGACATTGTCAACACGTGTTCGTGGTTTCTCGTGCGGTTTCGTTACTCTTGTATGTGCGAATGAAAAATACAAATGAATATTTTTGATATCGTTTTCACGGTCTACGAGGTTACTATAAATCCATCCATATTAATGCACATAGAAAAAAAGAAAAAACAAAAAAATATATTTATTACCAACATGGTTTGAAGTATTATTGTAATATTCGTAGATATTAATTCTATTCGTGTGATTGCAAAATTACGTATAATAATTTTATTAATGTTTAGAATAAAAAACAATTTATTTTATGAAAAAATTATAGCTATCATTCCTGTTTTAAAATTTATTAAGGATCCAGTATAATATTTGCTTTTTCTTTTCCTGAGAATTTTTAAAGAAATATAAAATTATCACACATTAAAGAGTTAACAAGCGCAAAAAAAAATAAGACAAAAAAGAATGAAAAATTCGAGGACCGTAATGGTCCATTCTAAATGGCAAGAATGCATAAAATAAACGAAACTTCCACGTGGATTGAAGATCATGCTTATCTCAATGCGTAAAAGAAGAGAAAGCCATTTCTCCTTAACGAAATATGAACGTAAAAAATTAAATGTTTACTTATATATATATGTATATATATATATATATATATATATATATATATATATATATATATATATATAAACATATTACATAGATACAATACACATATATCAAATGATGTTCAATGTTATAACATTGGAACTATTAAACTCATCAAAAAGATGAATGTCAGAATCACTTTTTTTACAATTATTAAAATAATTTTAATTATCACAAAAACGTCAAAAAAACTCTATTTTTCTTTATTCGTTATTGTACAATTAAATATATTTAAAAAAAACAAATAACGAATAAAGGAAAAATAAAAAAGTTTTATACAATATATCTATATTGATATATCTTTTATACAATATATACTATGAATAATATTATAAAATTATTTTATTATTTATTTTATTTTATTTAAATTATTACAAATTGTTTGATTGACGTTAAATGTTATATATAATATGTCCATAAATAATATTATAAAAAATTATTTTATTTTGTTTTATTTTATTTGATTTTAGATTATTATAAATATTTATATAGAAATGTTCGTAGAGAATATTCCACGTATATATTATAAAAAAAGAAATTAATCAATAATTTATTTAGTTTTATAATTTAATATTATTTAGTTTTAAAAGAAAAAATTTATAGGAAACTATCTTTCCTCTATCCCTTATGATGGTACATTTTAGAAAAGAAATATTAATAATTTTTTTTTATATAAAAGTTGCGTAAGTAGATTAAAACGAATTTATGTCAGTATTTCAGGATTTTTCTAATTATTACTTTCAATGTTTCTTTTTCCTTTTCTTTCTTTTTGTTTTTTTTTTGGTGTTTTACAATTTCTAGCAATCGTACGAAGTTAAACGTACTAAATCTTGGAAATAAGTGGGTCGGAGAAGGCGCGCAAGATGTCTGAGTTGGTGTGCAAGATGCCGCAAGGTGTTGGGAATCAAAGGGAAAAGAGAAAGAAGAAAAGTGAGTCAGTCGCGTGATTCTCGGTCTCTCCATATTTTCCGAGAGCGTCCCACTGCTCTTGTACCTCGGAAAGGCCGGTATGTTCAATTGAATGATAGCAATGACTTTATTGCACGTAGTCAACTCTATTACACCGACCTTTTATTCTCTCGAATGTCCTCGAAGCTCTTGAGCGTTATTCGTTATGAAAAAATAAAAAAAAAAGAAAGAACGAAAGAAAGAAAAGAAGAAAGAAAAAAGTTACAACGAGCGATTATCTACTCTTGCTAGATAACAGAGATTTATAGTGAATAAATACAACAATAAAAAGAAAAAGAAAATAATAATAAGAAAAATGTTTTTGTACGTTATTTAAAAATTAATACCTTTTTATAGACTGCAATAAAAAATTCGAAATTTTTTAATATATATAAATATATAAATAATATATAAATATAAATATACACACACACAAACATACATATATATATATACACAAAAATTAATTAATATTATTATTGTAAAATACATAAAATTTTTTATAATAATACTATTTTTGTAATAATATATTTACAAAATAACAAAATATCTAAAATATATTTTATATAATAATTGCCATTAAAAATATCAAATTCAATAAAGTTACGATAATTCGAATTTTAAGTGTCTTGTTTTATTATTAAAATCATAATTACCATAAAAATGTTTATTTCAAGCAAAGTAAAATGTGTGATAAAAATATATCGCTAATATTAATATTTGAAACAAAAATAATGTATTATTGCAACAGGAACTAAGTTTCTTAGAAATTTCTTCTCTAGTTTAGATAGTTTAGATAGTGATAAAAAAAAACAAATATATTTTTATATTTTGTAAATCTGTCTTGATAATCCTCTTTTAAATATCCTTAATATCAGCAACATTTATTTATTCAAAATTAATTATTTTAATATTAAAAATCATGTGGAATAATCGTATTTTACGATACACGGTGACATATAACAGTGATTTTATAGCTTCTTAAACGGGTTATTGTGATTTTTATGATATTTATTGAAATATATATATATA